TTTTAGGATTTTTTTTAGGGGGAGAAACAAATTCCTAGGGCAAGACTAGCAATCTAGTAACTGTAGCTGCTCAGGGATTTCTGTGGCTTTTGAAAATACTACAGGGCACTTGGGCTGTCTTGTCAAATTGTGATGTATGTCTCAGATAAACAAAAAGGCTCATTAGAGACTTTCTTTCCCCTCCATGTTACACAAAACAGATTCACTCATGGTACAAAGGTTACATTAACTGATCAGCAGGAGAAACTAAGGTAACTGTGCTCATGAATGAAAGCCCAAATTCTATACTGGAGTCTAATTTTCTGGGACTCTAGTATCTGCAGATAATCTCTGGTTTTTTTGTGGTCTCTTCTCTGAACTAGAAATCAGAGCATATATCTTTAATATTTTTACTCCCTTCTGTGGCTGTCAATTACAATGGCTTGAGTATTCTGTTCATCCTCAACTTCAGAACTTCTTGATCCTCTGAGACGGATCTTTCTCTGTCAGGCTTCTGAATGACAAGCAGACATTTCATCCCCAGAGACTATTCCCTTAGCAGTAACCTGGGCATCCAGTGCATTTATGACAAACACTTTTAGTATGCTTCCTCAGCTAGGGGAACAAGGCAAAGAAAAAAAGAACCGTGCAGCAGCATTTATCCTCCATGACGTGTCTGGAGGCCTGGCTGTAGCCTGGCCAGCACTGTTGGCTGTTTCAGCTGGAAACTTTAGCCTGCTTAAACATGCTACCAAAACGTTGCATATGTACAAATTAGGGAAGTTGTTATAGATACTGTTTGCATCTGGTAGTGCATAAAATAGAGCAATGGCCAGTGAGGTCTTTCTTTTTTTTACCTCAAACGCTGTACTTTGTGTACTGGAGCTGGGGGGAGCTCCACAGTCAGCAAAAGTAGACAGACGGGAAGGAAACAAAAAACAGTTGGGAAGAAAATTGCAAGAGGTGGCTGGCAGTTTCCACAGCCCTTGCCTAAGCAGCAGAGAGGGGTGCCATAAAAGAAAGGAGCTGACAAATGCATCCAGACCCCCTAGAAACTGTTCCAGAAAAGATGTGTCAGGACCCAGATCACCCAAGGATGGACCAGCCACTGGAAGGAGGGCACTGCTGGTGGAGATAGGTGCCTGTTTAAGGGACTGTGCTTGCTTTCTTTGCCCTGGCAGGTGGGCTGTAATCAGTTCTGTCCCAAAGTCCAAAGGGTCCTCAGGTCCCTGGGGAGGGAGCTACCTGGGGCAACCAGCCTCCCACCCAGCTGCGCTTCCAAACACTCATCCCACGTTAGCAGAAGCCAGCAGATAACATACGTCCACGCTGTGTACGTGAGGTGTTCTGCTCTGTGCTTTTGGTTTGGGAGAAACAAATGTGATAAATAAGATCTCAGGTCTGTCTGTTTCTGAAAAGCCATCAACACTAGCTCCAAGTAAGACTTGCCTACAGTGAGATGCTTTGCTGACAGGTGGATGCCAAGTTTATGGAATTGCAGTGTGCTCTGAGGACAGTTCAGGAGGATTTACAGGTGAATCTGGAAAACTTTTGATCCACTGTTTTAATTTAGAAGGATTGGGTTTGGTTTTTTTGCTGTTTTTTTGAAAAGATAGTGAGGGTAGAGAAACTTGAAATAGTATATTTGAGCTATTTTTTACTAAGGAAATGAGGCAGGGGGAGCAGAAATGTCAGCTTTTTTTTTGTATGCTATATACCATATCATTAACCTTAGACACGTGACAAGTTTTTGAGAGTGTAAAACAGTAAACTGGTTACTCTGAGTCTACCTGAAAAGACAAAGGAAAAAAAAAAGGCTTCGATATAGGTTTACACTATATAGGTACTCAGCCTAAAGGTTTCACAAGATGTACTGATGTTATCACTCTGGCAGGAAACTGAGGTTTTTGTGTTTAATGAAGCATTTCTTTGAAGTCACGCTAAAATGGTGAGTGTGACAGTGCTGCACATCTGCTGTCTGCACAGGTCAGGCCACTTCGACTTCCTTTTCTGAGACACTGCCGGGAGCAGGCCAAGAGTGCTGTGTATTTACCTAAGCTTCATCAAGTGAAGATGGAGAAGAGGTGGCTTCTCTCCCTATTTTGTTTGCTCTCGGTGCCCGGTGCTGCAGGTAAGCATGTCAGAGGGATGCCTTTGGTCCAACTGATGATGGATGGTGATGAGGTGCAGGGTGGCCTGTGCAGGCTGGACTCCGTGTGTCTCACCAAGGTGATCTGTAGCTACTGGTAATAGCACTGGCCTTAAGTTGTGCCAGGGGAGGTTCAGGTTGGATATTAGGAAGAATTTCTACACTGAAAGGGTTGTCAGCCATTGGAACAGGCTGCCCAGGGAGCTGGTTGAGTTGCCATCCCTGGAGGTGTTTAAGAGATGGGTGGATGTTCTGCTGAGGGACGTGGCTTAGTGGTGTTGATAGGGCTGGGACAAAGGTTGGACTCAATGATCTTGAAGGTCTCTTCCAATCAAAACTCTTCTAGGATTCTAATTTTCTGTTTCCTGGCAGCTTTCTAACCACCTTACTTATAATGTGTGAGCAGTAAGGCATTAAAAAGGCTTGTGCTGACTATTAGATTATTCAAAATGCCTAACCTGTTTTCACCAGAATAATCACTGAGGTGATCTCAGTTGTACTTAGGGCAACATGTGCTGGTCTCCAATGGGCAAAAATGAAAACTGCTTTCAAACAACAAATTAAAAATCTTTCTCTCTCTGACACACACATATCTGTGTATGCAGAGAGAAAGAATGGAAACTTAAGATTAAGGATAAATTGTATAGCTGCAGTCCCTTAAACAGCTTCCTCGCTTCCTTTTCCCCTCCCAGTCCTGTGTGCTGCATTAAAGGCTTGAGAAGCAAGCTTATCATTGTGAATAAAACCTTCAGAAAAGTTGAGTAAAGAGAACTGCATCCCCATTCATTAGAGAGGGTTTAAACCAAAAATGGTCTGAGAAAAACCAGGAAAAAGAGACAAGACTCACAAACCCCTTTAGCCCCCAAACCAGGCTTACCCTGATGAAAATAGGAATACTTATTAACAGCTAGGAAGAATAACTTTTTAGGACACAGGTTTTTTCCAGTTAAGAAATTAAGACCTCCTTTTGTGGAGATCAGACAGCTAAATGTCTGGGAATTACTCTGTTAAATTTCAAGTTGAGCACATGCATGAGCTAATAGACAGCATTTGATTTGGAAAAATGATGTTGGCATAAAATGAGACTATTTACATCAAGATGTTAACAAAAAGTTAAGAACACTTCTGCAAGGAAGAGTTTCAATCAAAATAAATTAAAGTGCTAGGCCACTAACAACAAAAATTAAAATGCTGTTTTTACATATGCAACTATTTAATGTAAAATATCCAAGTAATTTTTGGTAGATGTTCTTTACATGGTCCTTTGACCTAATGAGGCATTGGTAGGAATCATATAAGAGAGAACTTGCTGTGTCCCTTGCCTGCTAGTCCGTTGCAAGATTGGTAATTGCTTTTTACTTAGCTTTTACTGACACAAAACTTACAGTAAAATCAGTGACCATTTGCTATAGTAAGCTCCTTGGACTGACAAAAAACAGTTTTCAGTAATTTTTCTCACAGCACTTATCACTCAGCCTTATTTTTTATTTACCCTCTTAGGTCATGCCATCTCTTGGAATTCAATTGAAAGATAAACAGAGCATGCAAAGCAGTAAACCCTGCATATTAATGGTGGCCATTCAAGAGCTTTTTTCTCCAAGCACCTAGTCTCTAGGTATCATGTCACATTGTGGTGGTTAGTTACCAAATCTCAGCCAGCTCTACTCTGGTCCTCCACCCTTGCTCTCATTCCCTGCCAAACCCGAGCTGTAGGTTCTCCCTGCCACGCTCTCGTGGAGCGCATCAGACCCTCTGCAGGCACCGTGGAGGCTGCCTGGCCCTTGGCAGGGCATCCCCTGACTCAGGCTCCCTGGAGCCCTGTGTCACATGGCAGAGCAGCTGTCAAAGCAAAGAAATTAGTACTTCCCCCCCCCCCCCCCCCCCAAATAAAGAAGGCAAGAAGTCTGCACTTGCTGTTGTGGGGAGTCTGTGATATGGCTGGTGGGACTGTGGAACAAGTTCCCAAAGCAAATTTAGTGATGTTTTGATGCAGAAGGAGGATAAAATGCAGTGGGGATGGGGGGTGACAAGTCCATGCCTAAGAACATCTGTACAAACTCATTTTTTCTGGGGACATGCATGTCTTTTTGAAAAATGGCCTCTTTGTGTAAGGCTCTGTGGGTGTGATTGATTACTTGTCTCAGTAGGACTCTCCCATTCATAAATTCTTCATGTCCTTGAGTTTGTCAGTGTCCTGCATAACAGTGGTTTGGGGACTGAAAGGCTCTTGTTCATAGGAGGGAGAAAGGGAGAGAAATCAATTTTACTACAGCAGCAGCAAAACCAAGCAGTACAGGCTGCCATTGAAAGCCCCTTCATTTCACCGATCCATTACTCCTTTATATAGCACACTAAGGACTGTCAACATGCTTTATGAAATTAATTGAGGAAGAAACCATACACACCCAGGTAGTTTGCTCTGACACTGAAACAGACACTCGTTTAGGCTGTGCAGGAGCTGTTTAATAACATGTAGGTAAAATAACAGCTTTCTCTATCGAAGCAGTGAAGGCAATGCGCAGGGTGAACAAAGTGGGGCAAAATTAGCCAGCAGAGATAACTCATTTGTTCTTACAAAAAGCTTGAGAATAACTGGGCCCTGCTATTGTTTTATTTATATCACTTGAAAGATTTCCATTTTCACAGAGGCCCTCGGATTTCCAGTTTCTCTCCTGCGAGAGCTCCAGCAAGGAAGGGAGACAAGCGCATGTTTGCTCTCCCAGTTATCTCTCCGCATAGGTGTCTGTGGCTAAGGCACCAAATCTTGTCAAAGGTGACTTAGGAGAAAGCTTTGTTGAAACACTGCTTGCACTGAAAAAAGGTTCTGTGGCTTTTTTATTTGTTTTGTTTTGTTTTTGTTGGTTTTTTTAAGGACAATCTGAAGATGTCATTACACAAACAGAAGTGGTTCATGCTTTGCCCGGTACAGATGTCACCCTGGTGTGTATCTTCCCAAACCCAAACACCACCTACATAATACAGACACAGTGGTCCAAGACTGATGACAATCAGCTTACCAGAATAGCTGTTTATCATCCCATTTATGGAACTCACTACTTCACCTTTCCTGAGGCTTCTTACAACTTTTCAGTGTCCTTCAGCATGAAGAATTGCTGCGACTGGGATGCTGCAGAGGCTTCGTGTTCCTCTGATCCAAACACCATGTCTGAATGCAGTTGGTGGGCTCTGCATCTGAAAAATGTTACTATCTCCCTTAGTGGGCAGTACGAATGCAGTTTTGCTACTTATCCACACGGGACAAAGGCTGCAAAAATGCGACTTATCGTCAGGGCAGAAGGTAAGTGATTATGAATGAGATGTCACTCTTTTGTAACAGGGGCAGTGAGAGGGAATATCAGGATTGATGAAATTTCTTGGCCAGTGATGGTGGTGGTTTTGAGATTTGCAATGGCATCACTGAATGCTGCTGTCTGCACAGTTTCCTATTTAACTGGTGCTCTTTAGCTGTTGTTATTCAGCTCGTGATTAAGAAATCTTATTTGTTTGGAGGAATATGAAGTTAGAAAGAAAGACAAAAAAGGTGGTGAGATGGGTACTTTCCACATCTTTGTATTGGAGAAATATGCTGCAGAGAAGACTGGATGAGCAGCTCAGGATATGATGGGATCAAGAATGCTGCATCTTCAAACCATGCTGTGTTGCTGCTACAAGCTTGCAGTGCTGGACACCAGGAGAAAACATCCTTGTCTGGTTGAGGCTGAGGGCTGGCATCATCAGGGCATGCTGGGTGTCAGCTCGGTGGGGGCATGTTTGTCCCCACAGTGAAAAACAAACTGAAGCAAAGTGGGGGATTGTTTAGGGCAATCACAGGAATGGAGACTTGGCTGCTCCTGCCAGCCCAGAGGAAGCTGGAAAGCAGCATGACTGCTCTTGGTAAGTAAGCCTCAGGGGAGACTGTGAACTCCAACAAATGGATTTAAATAGGATGTAAATGGATTTGACTAGAAATTAAACAGCAGTGCCAAGCCTTAGTGCAGCAACTTTGCAAACAGCTGTTTAATGCCAGCAGTGAGGGCAAAAGTCCAAACTGCCATGAAGATGGAGCTGGGTGGGGATGTTGGGCAAGTTTGTTGTTGAATACAGAAACCTATTCCTGACTGAGGTTTCTGCGAACAAGCCAAAAAGGATTACGCTAAATGCAACAAGCCTGGAATGGTTTCAGTTCAGAGCTGCAAGGCCAACATGTTTTTTCTATTTGTGTGCAGGGCTCAAGGGTTAGGAGCAGGGTGGGTGCAGGTGATGTGGGGGGTAGCAGAGAGCAGCAGTTCTCTCACCGCCTCTTTGGCCTGCATCTTGGGGCCTGGCTCGTGGCAGGAGGGACGTCGGTCCCCATGCTGGATCACAATAGCCCTGCAGCAGGAGGAGGTCCTGGGCAAGCCTCACACACAGGGTATGTTTAACCCAAGTTGCTGCCTTTGCTCCTGACGGCCCCTGCATGGAAGTGGCTCCAAGCGTTTCTGCACTTTTATCCTGGAGACACGCCTCAGGGGCAACACAGTGGCACTCTCCTGCCCTGATAAACTTGCAGACGGAAAATTAGAGCCAGCAGCTCTGCACAACCCATAGAGGATGGGTGCGTTTAAGCAGTACACGCTGGATAACTGTGTCAAGGATGAAGCCGCCACTTTGCCTGCTGTGCAGGAGTGTTCTGCATGAGGCTTCCCTTTGGGAATTTTCCTGCACTTCACAGTTCAGAGGTGCTGGATCAAGCAGAGAGCAGTGGGGTACAGACAGTGCTGGTGTGAAACCCTCCCATGCTTCTGCTCTTTGTGTGATTTTTCTCTCTTAATACAATAATACTGTTAATTGGGCATTGCTCCTTTCCTCATGCTGGTGCCCTTGGTTGATAGTGGCATGTTCTAGGTTATTATTGCTGTCTACATGTTAAATGTAGCTCTTGTTTGTGTCGTCACCATTGTGGCTTTCTTTCAGCAAGTGCAAGACATAGCAAGCTGTCCTAGTGATAACTGCTTGCTAGAGAGAACTGAAAAATTCACTTTGCCACACACCTCTTGCAGATTTTTATTTTAAGGTAACCAGATCTTTTGTAATTAACCACTTCCACGCAAAAACAAGGCAAAAGACCTTAATCAGGCCTATGAGTGGGATGGAGAAGGGCGCTAGTCATCGATGAAGTACAGCTCTCAACTGCATCAAAGTGAAGTGAATCCAGATGGATTCAACTTGTAGATACTGCAAAAAGCCTGCAAAGCAGCAGGCCTATGTAGGACTGACAGACACAAAGGACCTTAGCCAGCAGGTTGTTGAGATAGGAATCAGAAATGGGGAGAAATAAGTAGCTGAGACACGTGACTGTGAGAACAGAGGCTGTTTGCAGACTGAGCTCCTGTGGTGATTACTCATCTTTGTACATCTCTTACGTTGTATGACACTTCTGCATGGTAGCTTGAACCAGCAACACTTCCTGTGCAGTCTCCTTCCTGACAAAGCTGTAGATTTGCCTCCTTTGCCCTTTCTTTATCATTTCTGCATTACCCAGCCCCTTTAGGACTCCTGTGTTCTGTGTCCCACCGTGATAGCTGGCTCCTCAGCTGCTTCACTCTGGTGGAGAGTAGAAACAAGCTGCTTCTGCCACTTGGTCTCCTGGGCATCACTCTGGGCACTGCCTTTCTTCGTGTCTGTCATGGTTTAACCCCAAACAGCGATTAAGCACCACACAGCAGCTCTCTCACTTCCCCCCTGCAGAGGGATAGGAGAGAGAATCTAGCGGGGGGGGAAAAAAGCCAATCCCTCCCAGTTTGCCTACTGAGCATGACATTCCATGGTAGGGAATATCCCTTTGGCTAGTTCAGGTCAGCTGTCCCGGCCGTGCTCCCTCTCAGCTTCTTGTGCACCTGCTTGCTGGCAGAGCACGGGAAACTGAAAAACCCTTAACTTAGGATAAGCGCTACTTAGCAACAGCTGAAATATCAGTGTGTTATCAACGTTATTCTCACACTAAATCCAGAACACAGCACTGTACCAGCTACTAGGAAGAAAGTTAACTCTGTCCCAGCCAAAACCAGGACAGGGTCCCTGTGGCCCAGGCTGTGTGCTGGCACTGTCACCCCGTGCTTGGGTGGCAGACATAAAGGATGTTACAGTCACCAGAAAGTCCCTGCTGCCAAATAACAGCCTGAGACTGATAGATATCACCCCTCCCCTCCAGATTAAATAAACAAATGAAATAGGTGTCTATTCTATCTCAACACACAAGCCAGAGCTTCCGAGGGAGCAAAGTTCAGGAGTTTCCCCACAGCGTGTGCTGGTGCCTGCAAAGAGGGAAGAGATGAGGCAGGTCTGTGCAGTGCGGGGAGGGAGGCTCGCTGGCACAGCAGGTTCCCCCGTGCTGCTGCCCATCCCTGGGCTGAGGTTGCCCACTGAGACACTCGTAGCATCTCCTAGCCATCACTGTTGCTCTTCTTGTTTAAATGCATGCAAGTGTGCAAACCTAATGTTGGGACTCCAGCTGTGCTCTGTTCGGTGCATCACTTCCACGGGTCGACTGGAGCCGTGGACTGGGAATGGTTAGGAGGTGATAAAATGCTTTCTTAAATCCATGGCAAAGGGAAAAGTGATGAGTTTTCTGCTTCTGGTAGTGGGCACGTTGGGGAATAACAAAAGGAGCACTTTCACTGAAAAATGGGGTTAATCTTAACCTGCCTGGCGTGCTGAACACTTTGCTTAGTGGAAAGAAGGTCTATGGATGTCTTCAGAGAAAAGAAGATACAGGTGCACAAAATTGATGTGAAGGTTTATTGCTGCAGAAAGAAAAATTGTAAGAGAAAAATTGAAGCTTCAAATTATTCTCAGCTCCAAAAGGAGACATCACGATCCTGCATTTAAGTAAAGGGTTTTATGAATTGCCCCAAAATTCAGATAGAGTCATGAATTAGCGTCATGAAACTGCAACTAGAATCAGATGCGAGGCTTTCACTTAACAAATGTGTCTATAGGTAATGGTTGAAAATTACAGTTGCCTTCAAATCAAAAAAGTGCCTGTTCCATGAACAGAAGACTAGGCAGCATTGGTTTTTAAAGCACAATGAACATCGTGTTTCTGATTTCTTTCCTGGGCTTTTTTTTTTGTCCTTGTTCTTGCAATGATAAAAGAAGAGCAGCACTACGTGAAGGAAGTATGGTTAAACCAGACTTTAGAAATTCCATGCCTTGAGGACATGACCTCAGAAAATTTGTCCAATTATCCTTTGAAATGGCTAATGGTGAGTATGTTTCATCTCAGGTATAAATTTCAGAAGGAAGTACAGGGGTTTTTTTGAGATTGAAATAAAAATGTTAGACTTTATTGTGTCCTGTGGAGTCTGTTAAACAAAAGGTATCGTTTGTGTTGGACTGTGATAATAAAGGGGAAAAATACAAACATGGTTTTGTAACATAGACACCACAAAAAATACCTGTTAAAGAAACAAAGAGGGAAGATTCCATTTTAATTGCTTTTAATTTTTCAGGAGTACATGTAGAGCAGATCCATAGAAAGTGGCAAAGAACTTAGCAAATATAGCAGAATTAAAACATTCCTTGCATTGGATTTCTCAGGGATTTTCCTTCTGTAGCGAAGCTTTAGTGTCTCTGAAAAATACACAATTACTATGCAGAGTAGTGAGATATCAGGTTGCACTGAATGAGGAAAAAGAAGAGGTCTGACTAATGTGTTTGTTAGTCTCTGTGTCATGGATGCATACCGAAGACATGTAAACACAGTTATCTAGCTAATCACATAAAAATTTTTTTAAGTAATTTGCTGTGAAATATAAAGTTCATTATATTCTTGTACTGCATCTCACTTCCACAATAAATACTTGTGTATATGTTTTAATGTAACCTTTTAGCATTAATTTCAGTATGTAGAGATAAGTGTCAGCCAGCAGTATCCTTGAGCTTTGCCTGTTAATTGCCTGTTTTGCCTGTTGTCAGTGAGGAGCTGCAAACATTGAGCGTTTACTTAAAGGTGATTTTAAATGTTTTAGGGTTTTTATTCTTTTGCCTCAGCTTGTCATCTATTTAGATCCCTCCCTGCACAGCATATTCTTAATATTAAAGATCTTAACATTTTTGTAGGGAGCATCCTTGTCCTTACTATCTTATAAAGTTGCTAGTTTACTTTACAAAGTAGCAAAGGAAGAGGAAAAAAAAACCCAAATGTCAGCACAATGACATATGTGGGTCACCACACATCATTCAGAATATAGCCTGCAAAAACATACCAAGACACGTATGTTCAGATGTGCCAGCTGCACCTATATATAAGGGCAGCTGGCACATAGACATTAAGAGATGACTTTTAGCTATTATTATCAGGTTCTCACTATTTAAAATCTAAAAGAGCAAGGATTTTCTTGGAATTTCAGTTGTATTTAATTTGTATGACATGCTCAGCATAACTTAAAGATTGCTGCAGTGAAAAAGCAGCTCTGTTACCCTCTCTTCAGGCCTCAGAAACCAGGACCTACAAGATAAAGCTATTTACTCCATAGTTTATTAGTAAGATAATGTCTGCTATTGGTTTTGAAGTTCTGGGAGAGAATGTGTTTTGGAAAAAGACATGTTGCAAGTGTCCACTAACTACTACACAATGCTCAGAGTGCAAGGGAAGTTTTTAATAGTGGGAATAGAGATGAAGTACAGACATATTTGAGGGGGAGGGCGGTGTCTGGTCTTCAAACGTTGTGTGGGTTGATCTTTGCACAGGGGGAAAATGGAAGGAAAGAAGAACTTGTGACCAAGGAACCCTCCGGTCCGGCAGTGTACAGGAATGGCAGCACGTTGTACAGGCAAAGAGTCCGCCTCGGTTTCAATAACACACTGAAGATTTTCCCCACCGAAATCACAGATGATGGCAGAGTGTTTTCCTGCCATGTGGCATACCACCCGGAGAGAGTCCGAAAGAGCAGTACCACCGTGAGAGTATTTGGTAAGGGGCTTATGCCAAGTGCCTGCTTACATGCACTCAGAAAGGTAACGTTCCTATCTGGTTCTCAAAGCAATAGCTTTACAAATGCACTGTTCTGGTCGTTTTGGGTTTGTTTTTTTTTAAATTATATATACATGTCTACATTGTATCCTTTTCAGCTGCAATGTGTTAAAATGTTAGTAAATAATCCCATTGTTCTTAGGAAGAGTTTGAGGCCATTCCTTCACGTTCTGCATCAAAAATAGATCTGTTGCACATGTATCAACACCACTGACAGGCACATGGCCATATCTCACACCGACGTGTGAGCTTATGTTGGTACTTTGTGGGTTGCAGTTAAGCACCTTGGTCATGGGGATCTCCATGCCCCAGTTACAAAATAACCATGCTGCCTGTTGTTAAAAAGTCATGGCCAAAATTTAGTAAGCAGCTAAAGATGTTTGGAACTACTGTTGTTGCCAAGCTACATCTTCAAAGGCAAAAGCCCTGGTTCTGAAAATTATGTCCTGCCTGAAGGTCTCAAACTGGCCAGGAGTGGTGGGACCCATGTACTGCAAACATGTGGGTTGGCATGTCTTGCTGGAAGCCTTCCCCACCTTTAGTCGCTTGCTCTGTTCTCTTCCTAGTGGCTTAGGAACTACTCTACAATTGCTGAAAACTGGGCTCTATTTTCTGCTTATAGAGCAGTGGGTTTGGAAAACATATTTCCAATGCTCCTAAAATGAATGGGTGTTAAATGGTGGGTCTGCCAACAGTCCCTTGACCATAGGAGTTTGACCAATGAAGCCTGTGGCTTGAGGAGAGCATGGCCGTGTAAGGCTGACGCTCTGAATGAAAAGAAAGATTCAACAGAAAGCAGCAGTGGCAAAAAAGTACAATTTGTGTCTGGGAGCTGTTGGTCTCTGATGCAGGAGAAATAAAAATAGAAGTTAATGATCCAAAATTTCCTCCTGTATTTGCATATTTCAGACATGGGTCTTTTAAAAATTGACATTTGTCAAATAGCTACAGTGTTACCTAGGTACTCATTCAAGTATACCTGCATACTTGAACTCTCCCTCCCCTCTGTCCCTGTTGAGGTTTTCACCTTGGTTTATTTATTTGTTGGCATAAGAGGTTGCTTTATTTGGATTATTCTCTACATTGTTGTGCCACATGTGGTTGTCTGTGCATGCACCCATATCAGCATATTAGTACAACATGGGAAAGAAGCAAACGAGAGAAAGCAGCCGTGGCCCTTGGTAATGAACAGCCTGTGAGGCTCCCAGTAAGTGATGGCTGACTTTGGACTGGGGTGCTGAGCTGTCAGCCTCTCTCTTAGGTGTCCTGAAGTCACATTGCTTACAGTTGCATCATACCAACTTTTCTCCAGTTATCTCTCTGATGTTGAGTGGGAGGAGACACCGAGAGCAGATGGCCCAGAGCCACTTCTGCCCCCACCCCACACGCCAGTGCTCTGGCAGGGCAGGAACTGGCAGAGAACGGGTAGAGACGGTGGTTAGAATAACGCAGCAATCTCCAATTGAAATTTGGGGACAGATAAACAGACGCTTTCAGATGACAGCACCTCTCTCGTTTCTTCTGCCAAAGCTGACTGACATTCAAAGGGAATGAAGAAAGGAATATTTATGTCACAGAAGAATTTTTTTTACAATGAGGGTGGTGAAACACTGGAACAAGTTGCCCAGAGAGGTGGCAGATGCCCCATCCCTGGAGATGTTCAAGGGGCTCTGAGCAACGTGATCTAGTTGAAGATGTCCCTGCTCACTGCATGGAGGTTGGACTAGGTGACCTTTAAAGGTCCCTTCCAACCTAAAGCGCTCTATGACTCTATGTCCTTATAGGTAGACCCAGCCTCACATGGCCAATGCAGGATCTAAAGCATGATAATAAGCATATACAGTGTCAGCTGTGCATTATATTGGCTATATCTATCCATAATAAAGGATATAGTTAGAGAACCAACTGAAACTTGGAGAGATTTTCCCGTCTCAGCAAGCCAGTAATACCCATCACCCAAACACTTGTGTAATCAAGCTGTACAGGCTGGGTGGCATAAGAAAAGGACAGGGAGGGCAGGCAGCTAGCGTACCATGGTGCTGCCATGGACAGGAGGAGGAAGAGGAGGAGAGGAAGGTGTGGTTGCTTGGGGAAAGCCCCTTGTATCAAACTAAACAGAGCAGAGACAGCCCAAGTCTGAGAGGTGGCAGTGGTGCCTCTCCACAGATGTTTGAGGTGGGCAGGAGAGGATGGGGAAGACATGAACAGTCTTTCAATGAAGTTGAGAGTCTTGGCAGGTTGAGTAAAAACAGACATTCAACTGAGTGAGCTTTTTGTAAGAGGGTACTTTTGGACTGGAATACTTCAAAAGATTTCTTTTCTAGAATAGTGTTCTTTTAGATACAAGTCTCTGAGAAAATGTGTGGCCTTTTCATGTCTAGCTTTGCCAAATATCGATTTTTCCTTTTTGTAAGAGTAAAAACTCAGCAGCAGAAACTACTATGCTAAATATTGAATTTCTGCTACACCTGAAATGTTGGTAAATATCCTAGCAAGACAAATGAATGTCAAACTGTTAACAGGGGCAGAGATGTTAAGTGGAAAAGATCTATTAGATCATTCAGAGCTGTGCTTTGAGAGCTGCTTGCCAGAAGAGTTACCTTCAAATATGTCTTCTAAGAAAGCAGACGACAGCATCCAATACATATGTGGAAAAGCATACCCGTTCTCATCAAAAAACAAAAAGAAGAGCAGTCATTAGACTAGATGTTGTTTAGTCTCCCAGACAGCTTTCAGCTGAGATTAGGAGATCCAGTTTACCAGAGTTTTTCTTATATCTGAAAGAGTATGGTTGTCTTCTGCCAGCTCCACTACCATCTGTACAGATTTGGCAAGGCAGAAACAAGAGTAAAATCTTAAGACCTTAATTTTCTCATTAAAAGAATCCATTAATAACAATAAAAATCAACAGAAAGATAAAGAAAATAATAAATACTGCCCAAAAAGTACTCTAAGTCCAGAAAATCGTAAGGCTGTCATAATTAAATATGAATCACTGCCAGTCATAATTTGATAGTAATATTAGGGAGAAAAATGGAAATTAATAAAAAAGAAGCCAGGAGAGTCCCTGGTGGATTCATTATATAAAACGACTGGGAAAGTTGAGCAGTTCACCTCAGAGGAGAATGTAACTAACTGAGGTGACCCTATGTAAATTAATATGGTTAGAAAGAAAAAGAGAAGAAAATTGGTAGAGATTAAAGCAAGGTTTAGGTTGGAACGAGAAAGAATTACAGATCTCCTAAGCAATCCAGGAGCTACATTTGTTTCCAGTCCGGTTTTAAGGCTCAGAAAGGGCCGGAAGCACAATTTATCCAAGGCTTTTGAAATTTACTATACATTAGCACAGTTTCAACAGTCATTACTTAAGGAGTTAGTTAATATCGCTACAAGCCAATAATCCCAATGACTAACTTAGAAATGCCAACTTAGAGAAGCTTATAGTACCTGGTAGCTTTTATCTATACAGCCAGTGGCACCTAGAGCCAAAATGCTGCAAAACCAAAATAAAACATTTTTCTTCCATTTCTTGTGGATGTGGTGGTCATCAGAGACCGGCTGCTCTGATGTGAAGGGAAGCTCTGGGTTTCCCAGCAATGCAGGAAGCATTTGTGGTGTGACACTGTCACACATCTGCATGTGGATAGCTGGTGCCCAGAATCAATCAAGGGTTTTGGGGGTGGCTAAAGCCTTTGCAGATGACTTTGGCAAACACCTGGAGGAACCAACAGCTTGGGAGTGTTTTATTTCGGCAGGCCTGGTAAGGGTGGCTCTGCTGCTGGGCGTGTGACGGCGGGATGCTTTCAGTTTGTTTCTCCAGCAAAGCCACCCAAGAGTAATTTAAACAGGCAGCAATTCCCATCGCTGCAGCAGTGAGCTGTGGATCTTGTGGTGGTATCTGCTGATATATGCTTGTAAACCACTTCCTTGACTTCAAATTGGAGCTGTGCAAGCTTTCATCTTGCTCGATGTGTGGATGGTGTCACGGATGGAGTCACACACTTCACTTGCAAGAGAGAAGCAACAATATATATTACTGATATAAGACAGCAAGTTACCAAAATTCAGTGGCACATGTGATGATGGTTAACAAGATCCAATGGCAAGGTACTCTTAAATATTTACTGTACAGTGGAGAGAGTGAGACAAAACTGTCATGGACACCCTTTCATTGAGTCATGAAAGGGTCTCACTGAGTTCAGAAAGGGATCCCTTTCATTCTAAACTCACTCACAGAGGGGAGTTTAGGTACAGCTCAATACAGACTTAGTCCCAGACTTGGTCAACAGTGCATGTCTAAAGGTTTATATAGGCACAAACAACCCTTTATATCACTTAGCTAATATTTTAAAGTTTCATCACTTTTATTCCCAATTCATGTACTGAGAATCTGACACAATAAGGACTCTCTCAGCCTCAAGGGGAAACCTTGAGAGGTGACCCTACTCAAGGGGAGATTCAGGTGTACAGCTCACTGCCACACAGGAGAGCTCAACAGGCCCTGGGCAGTCCACTATTTACCAACTAAGATAATTGACATACAGTCACATTTGCACACCAACTACAAATGTTAGTTTCTTCCAAATTTAGCCTGAGTTAGACATTGACCAGCCCTATAGTTGGGTGAGTGCATTGTTGAAATTAGTTCTTGGCTGTTCTGTTGTTTTCTGTCTCCTCCGAACCCACTTTGAGCTGTATGCAGCCATCACGACCAGACCAGACATCCATTGCAACCACCACTGCTGGTTGAGCAGAGTTATGGGAAATAAAGGTCAGCTGTGTGGGGTGGGAACACCATCACAGATGGATGTAGAATTTAATTTCCACTATTTTTTTTTTTGGTGAAACAAGGCTGTTAAGTCTTATCAGAAGCTGTTACTGTGACCTTCAGTATCCATTTCATTAATATGTTTCTGTTTACTTTCCAGCCCACCCCGAGATCTCTGTTAAACTGCAAGAGGGCTCAGCTGGCGCTTCACAGAAGGTGGGCAATTTTGGAACGAAGAATAATGTCTATGACCACCACTGTGCCATGCAAGTAGGGCCAGGCAAGCTAAGCTGAATCAGACATAGGTGGGACCTCCAAACTGACCAAAATCACAGGGCAGAAAGCTAGTCAATGAGTTAATGTTAGCGGTTCATGCCGTTTTTTTCTGAGCAATTCCCATCGCTGCAGCAGTGAGCTGCTTCAGTGAGCACAAACTCGAGCTAGCTAAGGGTTTGTCTGTGGTGTGGACAAAATCTGGTTTTGTGTTAGCCCTAGGGAAGGCTACAGGACAAGATCAAGCAGCTGTGAGGAGCTGGTGATGTTTCAGGGGGATGCAATGCTCACTTTTCCTCCCCATCTGCTAGCTACCACTCACCAGCAGCCTTGAGCTGTCCTTTCCACACTACTTAAATCTCAGTCTGAAAACGATCACCCACTACCCAGGATGCTGCTCCAAGGGTACAGGCAGTGGCAAATCTATTTTGACCCCATCTCACTTCAAGTCTAATTTAAAGATCTTTCAATGAGCCCCACCAGCTCTTGCCCCAGGATCCTCTACCCTCTTTGAGATAGGTGTTGCCCACCTGTTGCCAGCAGGCCTGGTGTCTTATAAAGCAGGCCGTGGTCAAAAAACCCAAAGTACTGCTGAAAAAAGTAGTCTCGACGCAAGGCATCGATCTGCTGGCTCTTCCTGTTTAACCCCTCATCAATCCTTGCAACTGGTGGGATAGAGGCAAACACTGCTCATGCTCCTGATCCCCTAATCAGGCATCCCAGATCCTTGAAGTGTCTGTTCATTGCCCTCAGACTTCTTGCTGTAATCTCATCACTACTTGAAAAATCATGCACGGGTAGTAGAGGGCCGAACTAGGATAGGGAGTTTTCTCTGTACATCCTTAACCTTGGCCCCAGGGAGGCAGCAGACTAAGGAGTGGGTCTGGTCTGCATATAGGACCTTTCACTCCCTTCAGAATTCAGTTTCCTATGTCAAGGATCTGTGTTTCTTTCTTTACTGAAGATGCTTTTATGCAAGACATTGTCTTAGCCTCAGTGACACCTCCAAGCTAGGTGAGCTGTCATCTTTGTCATTGTTTGGTTCCCCTTGCAGAACATCATACCTGTTTCACAAGGGCACCTGGGAGGGTGATGACCATGTCAGGTGTAATGTGTCATGCTGCAAGGAGAACTCAGCTGGAGCAATCAGATGCCGATGAAGGGACTGGATCTGAGGGCCCCTATTTAGAGTTGAGCAGTTGCTCGTGTGTTTTGGGGCCTCTGTTTTATCATGCACTTTGTAATGGCAAAGCCTAAAAGTCTGGTGTACTGCACTGGCCATACTTGGCATAAAACATGTTTATGGCCAGTATGACTCACTAGCAAGTCACTCTGGCTACTAGCCATGGTGCTTTTCTTCCTGTTGCAGCCAGTCCAGTTGAAGCTTTTGATCTCTGAGCATGTCAAATTAAGTTTTCCTTGGAAACAGGGCTTCTGGGCAGGCAGAACCTTGTATTACCCATATCCACCTGCTTCAGACAAGCTATGAGTCAGTTGGTTTTGCAAAATCAGTTTAATTTTTCTAGATGTGGTGTCGGACATTTCAGGCTTTTGTCTGCACTGTCCTGTTGAGCAGAACAAGGGGTGCTGCTATCATGGGACCATGCAATAGAAACTTTGCCAAGAGCATCTGTCTATTCTTTACCTCCAAAGAAACACCAACTCCTTTCCATCTCTATTCCACCCTTTCTTGCAGGGCTTAAAGCTACCTGGGATGTCAGATTTGTATTTCATCACAGGAACCATTTATAAAAATATTATGAACTACATGTGCCTGAAAAATAAGGGAACAATAAAGAGAAAAGAGGGGAAAACAATTACACTATGAGTTTAGAGGTTATTTACCATGACAAGGAAAGAGTTTCAGCTGGGTAATTTCAGTCTTCATACTGAATGATTGACTTCTGCTGACTGCAGTGCATCAAGCTTGCTTTCAACTAAGTGTGTGAACCACTTTCTTCGAAAGTGGGAGCGTGAGGGCCTTGTACTGAGTGAGTAGCACGTTGATTTTTTTTTCTTCTTTTTTTGTTTTGCTTAAATGAACAAGGCAATTTCTCTTAGTGCCCTAAGCTGCTAAGTAAATGTAATTGGAAACAGCCAGGCACCATGAGGATGAGACTTCTCACCCTGCTAATGCCCCACATTTCATCCATCCTTATTTTTGAGGTCCTTCCCATCTGTTGCTTGATGAGAAATTAAATTGAGCAAAACCACTGATTTTTGGAGCAATTGTTATACAGCCAGGATTATTGCACCTAAAGCATGCAATTTCTTGTGACTTCTGGAAACCTGTTACATATTGTGCCCTCAGTAAAGATATCTGATTTTGTATATTCGACATATCATTGCACTAGGCAGTTGTTTTCAGGGCGTTTGTCCCTTTATCTGCCTAACATGGGAAGAAGGATTTAAGTGGCAATCAGGAGGTGTCTCATTCTTGCCCCACACGTTGTGTCTGTTACTGGTTCCATTGTTTCTCCATGTGGGTGTGAGTCACTAAGGTACTGGGTTGGGGGCAGCAGTGTGGGAGGTCACCGTACATCTTTCCAGTTACAGAACTGGAGGGTGTTGGAGAGCTGTCACCCCTCACCTGGGTGGTGGGAATGTACCCTGGGTCGTCATTCAATGGTGTCTGCAACCAGAAAAATGTGGAGGAGAGGAGGGGAATAAACACAATAAAGAGGAAGCAAGTGCTTCTTTCCCAAGACACTTGGTGGGTAAATAAGCTCTGTTTGTAAGGGCTTTTGGAAGCTTGGCAGCCAGGTGAGAAAAGACAGAGGCTAATGACTGACTTTTATTGCCCCATAGCCTAACCTGAGCTGTGTTGTGAGGAAGGCGTTTCCCAAGCCAAGCCTCGTCTGGTACACGGACAGAGCGAGCCCAGTGGAGCAGTATGGAGGTAAAACAACCCGCCCACAGGGTTGGTGCAGTTGTAGAAGTGGTTCCCAAGCAGGGTGATGGTTACCTAACTGCACTGTTCTTGCCAAATCTTTGATAGCAACTCAGCAAAGAAATCTACAGCCATATGAACTTGCTTTTCAGTACCAGTAGTCTGAACAGCTCTGATTTATAGTAATGAGAGGGTATTGTGTTGTGTTTTTTTTTCCTCCAAGAAATTTCTGTTGAACAAGAAGATTTGCAAGACAGCAAAGGTTTCTATCAGCTGAGATCAACGCTGGTGTTGCAAGGAACCCGCCAGACACAGAGGACATTCTCATGTGTGTGTCTGTTTTCCTTCCTCGGGAATGAAACTTGGAATATTTCATCAGAAGAAATATTTGTGTCCTTTGGTAGGTTTTTCATAACTAGGACACATCTGAAACATAAGGGTTAAGAACAGTGAACACATGTATTCTCTATTATTTAAAATATTGAATAGAAGCTTTATTATACAAGTTCATCACACAGCTTGAACTTTCTGGCAGGTTTTTTAGCTAAAGTCTTTGCTCAAGCTTCTAAATGAGTTAAGAAACTCCAGCACAAACATAAGGTGGTTGCTGGGTTTTTTAAGCAGTATATTGCTACACTTCCCTCAACCAAAAATACACTAGTTTAGCCACGTGGCACCAGTGAGCTATTATAATCATGTATTTCTCACTAAGCGCTCCTGGCAGAAATTTTGCATGTGTGCAATGCAGCTCTGGAAAAATCACATCCTTGGAGTCAGTGAAACTTGCAAAAGGGCCCTAAACAATGGAACCATTTTGGACAATGGAAAAGCTCCCCTATAGCCTCTACTGTAAGAGTTAGCTACGCAGTTAGGGAAGTGGGGAGAAATATTGTCTCGAGTAATTGGTCAAAGCAGGAGATGTGACAGTGCAGAGGCTTATTGCATTTCTGAGGATGCAGTGTAGCAAGGGAGAAGGGCATCCTCTTGTGCATTGCTCCTCTTCAGGTGCAAATATCTAGTTACACCTTTCTTTCTTTTTTCACTATGTGTGCTCCTTGCTGCACAAATAATACAACTGAGCTGCTGGCCCCTTAGCAGCCTCCACGGGTTGCGTCACATCACATACCCTGGTGACTGCTTGCAGCTCAGCTGTGTTCACTTGTGGCTGTGGGTACTCTTATCGGTATGTTTTTCCACAGAGAACAACTGCAGTAAAAGCCAGAGCTATCTCCTCTGAAAATAGCTTAGGAAGGAAAGTCAATAAATGATCATTTTTCTCCAAAATTACTCATTTCACCCAATTTGCCATATTGTAGAAATATATTCAAATTGGAGAGGTGTCAATTAAAGTAGTCTACCTTCTCACCTGCAGGCTATGTTAACTCTAAGATAGATTCACTTTGTATAAAAATGTTAATGTATTTAGAAGTGACGGAAAGGAAAGAATTAAACTAATTCTTAGCTATGTTCTGTGAAGGTGCTGTACTAATGCACAATATGACAAAACCCTCAAACTAAATTTTCAGTATTTATGACAAAAACGTAACTACTTTTAAGAACTGCTTTAATCTCTTTTTTTTTGCCTTCACAGGCAATAATTCTAACGAAGCTTCATCTGAAAATTTTACCACCATGGATTCAGAAGGTAGAATAAATTAGAGAACTAAATAACTTGGGTTATGTTAAGGTGTGCCTATAAATTCCTAAAGCTGTTGGAGAAATCATTTTGCAAACTTGTTTCTCTATGAGTAGTAAGATTCCCTTTTCTGAGGCTATGACTTCAGAGAAAATAAACAGATATTTTGGTGATGTAATCTATCATAATTAAACCCAAGCATAATTAAACTCCAGCCTAGAGAGGCACTTAATGTTATTTCTGATGCTTCAGCTGGCAGTTGAATATAGCTCTTTCAGCACTCAGCTGATAATTAAAAATAACAACCCTACTAATGGTTCTACCTTCTGCTTAAGTACACAGTCAAGATCCTCAACATTTTTGCCTAATTAAAGAACTGATGGGATGTTCCTTAATTTGTGTAAATTTAGTAAATCTGCGCTCTGCAAGTTTGTCTTATTATCAGCTTGCTGCAGATAAATCGTTCCCTCCACACCTCAGCTGAAGCCCTTTGGAAATGCCTTTCCTGGAGCAGCTTGCTCTGTTCTGCCTGGGACACAGCTGCATTTCAGCCATGGGTTACGTGACTCTGTGAGAGAAATTCTCTAGACAAATAGCATGGAAAGAAGCATGGTTTTCTATGCAAGCTTGCTTCTGCTAGCGCAGGCTGTGGCAGAGCCTGGGGGTTCAGCCAATACCCTGCTGAAAACCACCCCAAGTGCCCGAGTCCCTGAGAGAGAGACTTTGTCCTCCACCTCCTATCACGGTGATCTCTCAAGGCAGCCCTTGCAGCTTAGAATCATAGAATGCTTTGGGATGGAAGGGACCTTTAAAGGTCGTTTAGTCCAACTCACTTGCATTGAGCAGGGACATCTTTTACTAGATCAGATTGTTCAGAGCCATGTACATCCTGACCTTGATTCTTTCCAGGGACATGGCTTCTGCAACCTCTTTGGGCAACCTGTTCCCAGTGTTTCATGATCCTTATTGTAAAAAAAAATAAAATTCTTCCTTATATCTAGTCTAAATCCTACCCTCTTTTGGTTTAAAACCATTACCCCTTGTCCTATTGCAGCAGACCTTTTTAAAAAGATTGTACCCATCTTTTCCAAAGGCCTCCTTTAAGTACTGGAAGGTCACTATAAGGTCTCCCCCGAGCTTTCTATTCTTCAGGCTGAACAACCCCAACTCTTTCAGCCTGTCCTCATAGGGGAGGTGCTCCAGCCCCCAGACATTTGCATCAGATCACCACTCTGTTTTGCCTTGCACGCTCTGCAGAAATGTACTGTGGGCTGGGCAGACCTCAAGGTGCTCCATACCCTGGTTTTTAGACCCAATGCATCTCTGGTATGGAGACCTTTTATGTCAGCCAGCTACTACGAAATCCCTGTTATCGCAAGTGACACTGAGATGAAATGTAAATGGAAGAGCAACACTCAAACCAGCCAAAGGAGATACAAATGCTTGCAAAGGAAAGCAGGTGGAGAGTTGATGGGTACCTACCTAAACTATGGTCCTATCTGCAGAGGGTCACTGCTTGCCAACACTCTCCCAGCATTCCTGACAAGACAGAGGTGCCTTCTAGCTGCCTTCCCAGATATGTTTTTCTAACAGTGTGTGAGCTTTCATAGATCACCTTCTTCATGGAACCCTGTAGGGAGATTTAGTCCCTTCTCCTAACCTACTCACTGTGTACTTTGCCTCAGCTCCTGGACAGAAAAATAATAGTGAGACGTCTCTCACTCAGGATGTAAACGCTGCTTGGGTGTTTCTGCTGTGCTTGGCTGGCTGGTGACTAGTCCTTTAATTGGAAGGAGTAACTCCCTCTCCTCTTCTTAAAGGACTCAGTGAGCACTTTTCAATGCAAAATATCCCTGAAGGTGCCACCAGGTCATATATGTTATTTCAACATGCGTGCTAATAAGATGCATCTGTTTGTATGGGATAAAACCATGTAACTCACTTTTTGAGTTGAAGTGACATGGCTCCAAAACTTCTTCTCTCAAGCCTTTGTTTCCCTATGGATTTCACAGCACAGTTACCTTGGGTGCTCCATGTTTCTCACTGGAGCACTTGGCTGAGATTTGCATTGAAAGATTATTTGGAAATTAGGCGTAATGCACTCTCTCACTCTTGCGTCTTTGAATCACCCACTTTTCTAAAGTGGAATAAACATCCCTCTCACTCTGAGTAAAAGCATTTTCTTTGCTTTGTTATAGACCTTGGAAATTCAGCATTTCCATCAGCTTTCATGACTACCTCAGGTAAGGGGGAAAAAAAAAGTGCCTTCTTTATTACTCTGTTAATATAGGTAGAATCTCTGCTTGACCATTGCTTAAATGTCATGTACACAGAAGCAGAGGCATGCCAGGGAAAGCTCAGTGTGCTCTGATACTTGATGGTACCTGTGTGCTGCTGGACAGGGATTTGTGAGCTATGAAGTTACCCAAGAAGGGATCTGACACAAATCCTGCTAAATATTAGGACACATTGGGACACCATGTAAAATGGCATGCTGAATATCACATATTATTTTTTATGCTTTTTAATAAGATGGAATAAATCCCCTCTATCCAAGTATGAATTAATTTGTCCTATTACGACAGAAAGTTGCATGTGATAAAAAAGTTAAAACGACCACTTTTTTTTTTAATCCAATAGTAGCACATCATTCCTATTCATTAATCATAGAATCATAGAATGGCCTAGGCTGGATGATAGAAGATAAATAACACTGCTTTACCAGAGCATAGAATCATAAAATAATAGAATGTTAGGGGTTGGAAGGGAGCTCTAGAGATCATCTAGTCCACCCCCCCTGCCAGAGCAGGATCCTCTAGGGCAGCCATGCAGGAACACGTCCAGTTGAGTTTTGAAAGTCTCCAGAGAAGGAGACTCCACAACCTCTCTGGGCAGCCTGTGCCAGGGCTCTGTCACCCTCACAGTAATGAAGTTTCTCCTCATGTTGAGGTGGAACTTCCTATGTTCTAACTTAAACCTATTATTCCTTGTTCTGTTGCTGGGCACCACTGAGAAGAGATTGTCCCCTTCCCCTTGACACCCACCCCTCAGATATTTATGTACATTAATGAGGTCCCCTCTCAGCCGTCTCCTTTCAAGGCTAAACAGCCCCAGCTCTCCCAGTCTCTTTTCATAGAAGAGACGTTCAAGTCACTTAAGGATCCTCGTAGATCTCCGTTGGACTCTCTCCAGTAGGTCCCTGTCTCCATGCATGCCTATGGATAACTATATAAAACTATGTTCAGCACTTGAGATGAAAGCCCGGAAGAGCAGGGGATCTCCTGGGCTTATACAGCTGCCACACGTTATCAGGACCTGGCTAGGTGGGGGAGCACCACCGAGCACTTAATGCATCCCACAGTAGTTGTACTGAACCCTGGACATAAAATCAACAAACAGTCCACACAGATAGTCCACATGAATAGGTCAGCATTAATAACATCAGCAGTCTCTGAGTGGCCCTTGAATTTGTGGGGTGTGTTTTGAATGTTTAACTTTAACTCTTACAACGAGATTCCTGCTGCAGAGTCTGCATTTACCCAGCAGCTATGGCAACCTCTTTGATCCAGGTTGGTGTATGATTTTTTAATGTTATTCTTAAAAGACTCTACTGAGTAAATGTAATCTGTTTGTCTTTAGAACACCGGCCAACATCTTTGACCTCTCTGGATTTCACAAGTCAAGCAAGCTTGGCTCCTGCTTCCATGACACAAGGTAATCAGCTAAAATGTTTTCTCTATTGCTTCAAGAACGTAGGAGAAATAAACACTGACCACAGAATAACAATTTTGCACTTTTTGTAGCAAACAATTTGTTGCCTGCTGAAGCCCTTTTCATAGTACATCGTACAGCAGGAAGTCCACAGTTCAAAAATAAATATATGAGAAAATGGTATCTTGATTTTATTTTTTAAGTGCCCCACTCAGGATATATGCATTAACTTCAGCAAGTGAACAGATACCAAGTATATATTTTTGTAATACTTATTCTTTGTATCTCTTAAATTAAATACCATGCAAAAATAGAAAGACATTAGAGGTAGAAAAAAATGCAACCCAGATATTGGAGTACAGGAGTACACATACAAAGCACCAGTAAACAAAATACTTACAGCAGATGACTCAACGAAGTGATTTCTTCTCCAGGCTGGTGACAGGGCCATTGCAGGGCAGTGTAACTCACTTGGCAGGGTTTAACCTTGTTTCCTCGGGGAGAGGTACAAGCACCAGTAGCTGGCATGCACTCATTGATGTGGCAGTAGCCTGAATGGAGAGGAGGTGAGGCTGTGAACCTCCAGCCTTCCAATCCCAAAATAAAGGGCTGATGCCCACCAGCCTGAGCAGAATGCATTTTCTTGCAGCACAGCCTGCCTGTGAAAGCTTTTTTTCTTTAAAGTCTCTTTCCATTTTGAAGCCCAGCTGTTGATCACTGTAGGACTGGCTGGTTTTAAGCAGCAGGTAGAAGCATACTGGGGCTGTCCTCACTGGCAGCGAGGTGTGTGCTCGCTGCTAAATGGCCTGAATTAACACAGGCACAGCACATGCTCCCATTTCAGAGATGGCAGCATGAGGAAGAGGCAATGTGTCAAGTTGTCATCAAACTCCATCTTCTTCTCCAAAAGCACTAAAGCTTTGCCTCAGGCAGCAGCTGGCAAGAGTGAATTTGGCCTTTGGTATTTTGGGCAGCCTTGCTCTCTCAAACAAAAAAATTGATTGCAACAGACTGTTTCATGAGCCTGTGGACTACATTGAATATCCTCCTTAAGATGTGTCATTCAGTCCTGCAAACTTCACTTTAACCTACATGACACTACAGCAGCACTTACCCAGAGGTGAGCGAGGAATGCAATGGGCAGTGGGAGTAATACCAGAGAAAGATGCTGAATGCAAGGCTTCATCCTGCCCCAGCTGAATGCTGCTATTTTGGAATCATTCCATGTAAAGCCCTGGGGAATGAAGAGGCTAGATTGAGATATGCCAGGGCAGGAACACAGACTACAGCAGCACTGGATTTAAAGTTTGCTGCTTCTCACTCTATTTTCCTCATCCCCTAAGTAGAGACATGTGCCCAGCCTGGCTGACAGAGAGGCAGCAAAGTGCCTCTGTGAGCGGACTGAGAGCCGTTCTGTTTCAACAAACAATTTACTGACAAAGATTATGACTACACAATGTGAACAGAGAGGATTGTCTTTATTAGATTGTAGAACTTCACTGGTCAAGGAAGCATGAGGTCAAAATCATAGTGTAAGTTAGAGCTGTGCAATTTCTCTTCTGTAAACAGACCAGGAAGACACTGCCTTTTAACCAATGTCCCTGACGTGGCAGTCATGGTGTGCCAACCATGGGTTAGTGCTGCTTCTCTCTGGCTCACTGCTGGTTCTCACACTGGTGCCACCATCAGCTTCCTGAGCAAACCCTGTGGGCTGCAGCCGAGTCAGGATGCCAAGTATCCAGGTGTGCCATTGTAAAAAGGGGTTGGTTCAGTTCTTGTTACTTTGCAAGGTTTTAATGAAAATCCAAGAGACAGCTGAGAATTGATACAAGAGAGGAGTACACAGATATAGGAAGGAGAAGGAGAAGGAGAAGAAGGAGAAGGAGAAGGAGAAGGAGAAGGAGAAGGAGAAGGAGAAGGAGAAGGAGAAGGAGAAGGAGAAGGAGAAGGAGAAGGAGAGAAAAATCCAAGTCTCTTAAAACTGCAGCCTGGTCTTTGCTTAGATTCCATGATACCTCTCTCTCTGAGTCCAGAGATGCTCAGGCTTTGAGTGCAGGGTTACAGCTGCATTTCAGCTTCTCAGGTTTGTTCAGATGGCTTTGTGACACTTTTCTAAAAATGAGACAGGTGTTAGGAAAAGTGGACTCTTTTTTGGCAAATATGAAAGAGTCCCCTTGGGAAAATAGAGGTCTACTTGCTAACCACCATCTGTCTGTATTTAAACATCAGATAAATAGCTAGTGGAGCTCTAGAATACTTAGCACTTTAAAAAAATATTAAAGGAAAATGTTAAATAAATTGGGATTTGGCACCAGGCATCACAGGTGTGACTCCTGTACACTAACTTCTTCAAAACTTATCTTTGCCAGTTGGGAGAGCAGTTTTGTCTCATTGGAGCTGGTGAAACTCTTTAAATCCTGATTTATGTATATTTGTTCATCATTCTACTGACTTCAAGTCAAAATATGCCAGTGCACATGGAAATACTGAGTTTCAGTTGAAACTCAGCGAAACCAAAAAGTGCGTGCTTAAATGCCCCATATATTTTTCTTAAGTTTATACATTCTTCTCACTAAACTCTTGAATTTCTAGCTTGTGATAGACTTTCAAGCCAGACACAGAGTTGTGTGATGTTTGTCTGAGGGAAGCCAGTATATGAAATAATAATGTTACAACTGTTTGACCTTGTTAGTCAGGAAATGGGGAAGAAAGAGGGGAAAATGAAAAACAAGCAATATGGTCCTCTGCAGCAATTTTTACAAGCATGTATGTTTTTTAGCAGGACAGCAGATTTCTACCCAAGAGACAAAAAGCTATACCAGTGCCTCAGCACTCAATGACAGTTTGACAACAGCACGTGAGTAGATGATGTGTCTCCTTTTCTTTGTAGGACTGTGACAGGGGAGTTACGAAGCCAATTAGGGGTGCTGCCAAGTGCAAGTGTGGTACTAGCTTAGCAAGCGTTGGATTGCAAATCTACAGTGATCTGGAGTATCTTGCAAAAAGTACAGCCGTAGGTGCTCGGACCTGTGTGGTCCTCAGTTGGTGATGTCTTTGTCAAGAACATGAGCTTTGTGGTGATTGTTTTGAGCTGCTAGTTGATAGTCATCATATTGCCATGCAAAACCAGTTACTAAACATGGAACTGTTGTGTCAGAGCAGAGACCAAAGGTCAGGTGGGGCAATCTTCTCTTTAATTCATAGAAGCAACTCCCCTGTTGAGTTGCACTGAGTTAGAAGAGAAAGACCCGTGTCTTCCAAGTCATCAAGGATGTGTAATGGCAAAAGAGGAGAAAAAAATGTTTGAGTATTGTGGGTTTATTAGACATATTTAATTCAATAATAGTAAAATTGAGAGAATTGTTAAGCAATTGCAGTGAGAACTGAGGGTAATTTATAGATGAAATAAATTACTAGAGAAGCTAAATAAAATCACAGAGCAGCAATGAAATAGTGAAATATTAGGGAGCAATAAAAGCTGGCCAATACAACATTGAAAGGCAGCCTCAATAAAGATCAATAAATCAATTAAAAAAAAATCTAAGAGTGGACATTTTTTCACAGTTTTTCTGTTAGAAAATCTCCGCTCAGCAGCAGAAAGGCAGAAATTACTTTCCTTTTTAACATCTTGGTTTGTCTTTGTGGTTTCAGAACAGGCAGGACCTGTCAATGTGCTTTTGCATTTGTATGGCAGTCATTTTTTTGGCTGAAGCGCAAATGTAGCAGCCGCTTTCTATTTTCTGAGTGTATTTTTGGCAGCACTCCGGTGCTTATTTACCCGCGTCTCACCCACGACCACGTATTTAGACCAAAACCTCATGACAATTTCTAACACTTCCCGATCCTCCTCTTGCACAGCTTGCTGGTTGCAATTTTTTTTTTGCTAAAAGCATGCTGAATTGCACTATTATTTGCAGGAGGGACGGTGCATTGCACCACCCATCGGCTTCCTTATCGCCATGTCTCCCTGACCACCAGCTGGGGCATGGCCTTCAACGTCCCTTAGTCCAGCAGCTGTAATTGAGAGCAACTTCAGAGTGCATGGGCACTGGTGTGACCTCTGAGACATCCCAGCATGTGTCCCTGCAGTTTTCCAGGGCCACAGGGCTTGTACATCAGGGATCATTATTATCAGTTCAATCCTCAAAAGATTTAACACAAGCTATTATAATATTAAGCAGTGCTCGTCAGCACAAGTATAGTGTATAGAGTATAGTGCTTTGGGTTCTCTAAGTGTATGTAATTTTATATATATATATATATATACAACTTTTTAAAATGCCAGATCTACCTAGCTTACACCCCTAAAATTAATGCTTAATAAATGAGGAGAAAAGAAAGAATGTCCAAAATTCCTAGTGAATTTTTAGAGTGCCCTAAAATTAGACTGATATTGGTAGGCTATTTTAATACATAGGTGCCTATATATATATATACACATACTTACACTCAAGTGCTCAATTTCAGTCAGAACCAGCATCTCGTAAGGAAGAGATTTTCCTGACTCTGTCTGGTTATTGATTTACCTCATTTACACAGTGGATTTTTTTTTTCTTGGATTTGTAAATCAGCAGTTATGCTAGAGACCTTCAGGTATCTCTGTTATTTCATTTGTTATTTACAGCAGAGAAAAGAAAGAGTATTAAATAACCACAACTGTGCTTAATGAAGCCGTTGCGTACAGACTTTTAAGATAATTGAAGGATAGTATTTCTTTTTCTATAGATCTGAATGATTTCACCAGTGAATCCCCACAAAGCCTTGGGAATGCCACACACTCCTTTGAGAATACAATCCTGAGACATCGTAAGTGCCGTGGCAGCTCTGGAAACGCTATGCCATTGTCTACTTGCGTATTTTAGTTATTATTTTAGGAGACGCAAACATATAAATGGCTAGAAAAA